CCCGCCCCATTCTCCTGCTTCCCATAACCCCACCCCATTCTCCCGCTTTCCATTACCCCACCACATTCTCCCACTTTCCATCACCCCGCCCCCTTCTCTCTCCTTCCATCACCCTGCCCCATTCTCCCTCCTTCCATCACCCCGCCTCATTCTCCCGCTTTCCATCAGCCCGCCCCATTCTCCCGCTTTCCATCACCCCTCCCCTTTCTCCCACTTTCCATCTCCCCGCCCCATTCTCCCGCGTCCCATCACCCCGCCCCATTCTCCCGCTTTCCATCACCCCGCCCCATTCTTCCGCTTCCCATCATCCTGCCCCATTCCCCCGCTTTCCATCACCCCTCCCCATTCTCCCTCCTTCCATCACCCCGCCCCATTCTCTCGCTTTCCATCACCCCGCCCCATTCTCCCGCTTTCCATCACCCCGCCCCATTCTCCCGCTTTCCATCACCCCGCCCCATTCTTCCTCCTTCCATCACCCCGCCCCATTCTCCCGCTTTCCATCACCCCGTCCCATTCTCCCTCCTTCCATCACCCCGCCCCATTCTCCCTCATTCCATCACCCCGCCCCTTTCTCCCGCTTTCCATCACCCCGCCCCATTCTCCCGCTTCCCATAACCCCACCCTATTCTCCCGCTTTCCATCACCCCGCCACATTTTCCCACTTTCCATCACCCCGCCCCCTTCTCTCTCCTTCCATCACCCCGCCCCATTCTCCCTCCTTCCATCACCCCGCCCCATTCTCCTGCTTTCCATCAGCCCGCCCAATTCTCCCGCTGTCCATCACCCCGCCTCTTTCTCCCGCTTTCCATCACCCCGCCCCATTCTCCCGCTTTCCATCACCCCGCCCCATTCTCCCGCTTTCCATCACCCCGCCCCATTCTCCCGCTTTCCATCAGCCCGCCCCATTCTCCCGCTTTCCATCACCCCGCCCCTTTCTCCTGCTTTCCATCACCCCGCCCATTTCTCCCGTTTTCCATCACCCTGCCCCATTCTCCCGCTTTCCATTACCCCGCCCCATTCTCCCACCTTCCATCACTCCGCCCCATTCTCCCGCTTTCCATCACCCCGACCCATTCTCCCACTTTCCATCACCCCGCCCCATTCTCCCTCCTTGCATCACCCCGCCTCATTCCCCCTCCTTCCATCACCCCGCCCCATTCTCCCGCTTTCCATCACCCCGCCCCATTCTCCCGCTTTCCATCACTTAGCCCCATTCTCCCGCTTTCCATCATCCCGCCCCATTTTTCCGCTTTCCATCATCGCCCCATTCTCCCGCTTTCCATCACCCTGCCCCAATCTCCCGCTTTCCATCACCCCGCCCCATTCTCCCTCCTTCCATCCCCTTGCACCATTCTCCCGCTTTCCATCACCCTGCCCCAATCTCTCGCTTTCCATCACCCCACCCCATTCTCCCTCCTTCCATCACCCCGCCCCATTCTCCCGCTTTCCATCACGCAGCCCCATTCTCCCGCTTTTCATCACCCTGCCCCATTCTCCCGCTTTCCATCACCCCGCCCCATTCTCCCGCTTTCCATCACCCCGCCCCATTCTCCCTCCTTCCATCACCCCGCCCCATTCTCCCTCCTTCCATCACCCCGCCCCATTCTCCCTCCTTCCATCACCCGCCCCATTCTCCCGCTTTCCATCACCCCACCCTGTTCTCCCGCTTCCCATAACCCCACCCCCTTCTCCTGCTTTCCATCACCCCGCCCCATTCTCCCGATTTCCATCACCCCGCCCCATTCTCCCTCCTTCCATCACCCCGCCCCATTCTCCCGCTATCCATCAGCCCGCCCCATTCTCCAGCTTTCCATCACCCTTTCCCTTTCTCCCGCTTTCCATCTCCCCGCCCCATTCTCCCGCTTTCCATCACGCAGCCCCATTCTCCCGCTTTTCATCACCCTGCCCCATTCTCCCGCTTTCCATCACCCCGCCCCATTCTCCCGCTTTCCATCAGCCCGCCCCATTCTCCAGCTTTCCATTACCCCTCCCCTTTCTCCCGCTTTCCATCTCCCCGCCCCATTCTCCCGCTTTCCATCACCCCGCCCCATTCTCCCGCTTTCCATCACCCCGCCCCATTCTTCCTCCTTCCATCACCCCGCCCCATTCTCCCGCTTTCCATCACCCCGCCCCATTCTCCCTCCTTCCATCACCCCGCCCCATTCTCCCTCATTCCATCACCCCGCCCCTTTCTCCCGCTTTCCATCACCCCGCCCCATTCTCCCGCTTCCCATAACCCCACCCTATTCTCCCGCTTTCCATCACCCCGCCACATTTTCCCACTTTCCATCACCCCGCCCCCTTCTCTCTCCTTCCATCACCCCGCCCCATTCTCCCTCCTTCCATCACCCCGCCCCATTCTCCCGCTTTCCATCAGCCCGCCCCATTCTCCTGCTGTCCATCACCCCGCCCCTTTCTCCCGCTTTCCATCACCCCGCCCCATTCTCCCGCTTTCCATCACCCCGCCCCATTCTCCCGCTTTCCATAACCGTGCCCCATTCTCCCGCTTTCCATCAGCCCGCCCCATTCTCCCGCTTTCCATCACCCCGCCCCTTTCTCCTGCTTTCCATCACCCCGCCCCATTCTCCCGTTTTCCATCACCCTGCCCCATTCTCCCGCTTTCCATCACCCCGCACCATTCTCCCACCTTCCATCACTCCGCCCCATTCTCCCGCTTTCCATCACCCCGACCCATTCTCCCACTTTCCATCACCCCGCCCCATTCTCCCTCCTTCCATCACCCCGCCTCATTCCCCCTCCTTCCATCACCCCGCCCCATTCTCCCGCTTTCCATCACCCCGCCCCATTCTCCCGCTTTCCATCACTTAGCCCCATTCTCCCGCTTTCCATCATCCCGCCCCATTTTTCCGCTTTCCATCACCCCGCCCCATTCTCCCGCTTTCCATCACCCTGCCCCAATCTCCCGCTTTCCATCACCCCGCCCCATTCTCCCTCCTTCCATCACCCCGCCCCATTCTCCCGCTTTCCATCACCCTGCCCCAATCTCTCGCTTTCCATCACCCCACCCCATTCTCCCTCCTTCCATCACCCCGCCCCATTCTCCCGCTTTCCATCACGCAGCCCCATTCTCCCGCTTTTCATCACCCTGCCCCATTCTCCCGCTTTCCATCACCCCGCCCCATTCTCCCGCTTTCCATCACCCCGCCCCATTCTCCCTCCTTCCATCCCCCCGCCCCATTCTCCCGCTTTCCATCACCCTGCCCCAATCTCTCGCTTTCCATCACCCCACCCCATTCTCCCTCCTTCCATAACCCTGCCCCATTCTCCCTCCTTCCATCACCCCGCCCCATTCTCCCGCTTTCCATCAGCCCGCCCCATTCTCCCGCTTTCCATCACCCCGCCCCTTTCTCCCGCTATCCATCTCCCTGCCCCATTCTCCCGCTTTCCATCTCCCCGCCCCATTCTCCCGCTTTCCATCACCCCGCCCCATTCTCCCGCTTCCCATCATCCCGCCCCATTCCCCTGCTTTCCATCACCCCTCCCCATTCTCCCCTCTTCCATCACCCCGCCCCATTCTCCCGCTTTCCATCACCCCGCCCCATTCTCTCACTTTCCATCACCCCGCCCCATTCTCCCGCTTTCCATCACCCCGACCCATTCTCCCGCTTTCCATCACCCTGCCCCATTCTCCCTCCTTCCATCACCCCGCCCAATTCTCCCGCTTTCCATCACCTCGCCCCATTCTCCCTCCTTCCATCACCCCGCCCCATTCTCCCTCATTCCATCACCCCGCTCCATTCTCCCGCTTTCCATCACCCCTCGCCATTCTCCCGCTTCCCATAACCCCACCCCATTCTCCCGCTTTCCATCACCCCGCCACATTTTCCCACTTTCCATCACCCCGCCCCCTTCTCTCTCCTTCCATCACCCCGCCCAATTCTCCCTCCTTCCATCACCCCGCCCCATTCTCCCGCTTTCCATCAGCCCGCCCCATTCTCCAGCTTTCCATCACCCCGCCCCTTTCTCCCGCTTTCCATCTCCCCGCCCCATTCTCCCGCTTTCCATCAGACCGCCCCATTCTCCCGCTTTCCATCACCCCGCCCCATTCTTCCGCTTCCCATCATCCCGCCCCATTCCCCCGCTTTCCATCACCCCTCCCCATTCTCCCTTCTTCCATCACCCCGCCCCTTTCTCCCGCTTTCCATCTCCCGCCCCATTCTCTCGCTTTCCATCACCCGCCCCATTCTCCCGCTTTCCATCACCTCGCCCCATTCTCCCGCTTTCCATCACCCCGCCCCATTCTTCTGCTTTCCATCACCCCGCCCCATTCTCCCGCTTTCCATCACCCTGCCCCATTCACCCGCTTTCCATCACCCGCCCCATTCTCCCGCTTTCCATCACACCGCCCCATTCTCCCGCTTTCCATCACCCCGCCCCATTCTCCCGCTTTTCATCACCCCGCCCCATTCTCCCGCTTTCCATCACCCCGGCCCATTCTCTCGCTTTCCATCACCCCGCCCCCTTTTTCCTCTTTCCATCACCCCGCCCCATTCTCCCTCCTTCCTTCACCCCGCCCCATTCTCCCGCTTTCCATCACCCTGCCCCATTCCTCCGCTTTCCATCACCCCGCACCATTCTCCCACTTTCCATCACCCCGCCCCATTCTCCCGCTTTCCATCACCCTGCCCCATTCTCCCGCTTTCCATCACCCCGCGCCATTCTTCCGCTTTCCATCACCCCGCCCCCTTCTCCCTCCTTCCATCACCCCGCCCCATTCTCCCTCCTTCCATCACCCCGCCCCATTCTCCCGCTTTCCATCAGCCCGGCCCATTCTCCCGCTTTCCATCACCCCGCCCCTTTCTCCCGCTTTCCATCTCCCTGCCCCATTCTCCCGCTTTCCATCACCCTGCGCCATTCTTCCGCTTTCCATCACCCCGCCCCCTTCTCCTTCCTTCCATCACCCCGCCCCATTCTCCCTCCTTCCATCACCCCGCCCCATTCTCCCGCTTTCCATCAGCCCGGCCCATTCTCCCGCTTTCCATCACCCCGCCCCTTTCTCCCGCTTTCCATCTCCCTGCCCCATTCTCCCGCTTTCCATCACCCCGCCCCATTCTCCCTCCTTCCATCACCCCGCCCCATTCTCCCGCTTTCCATTACACGCCCCATTCTCCCGCTTTCCATCACCCCGCCCCATTCTCCTGCTTTCCATCACCAAGCCCCATTCACCTGCTTTCCATCACCTGCCCCATTCTCCCACTTTCCATCACCCCGCCCCATTCTCCCGCTTTTCATCACCCCGCCCCATTCTCCCGCTTTCCAACACCCCGCCCCATTCTCCCGCTTTCCATCACCGCGCCCCATTCTCCCGCTTTCCATCACCCCGCCCCATTCTCCCTCCTTCCATCACCCCGCCTCATTCTCTCTGCTTCCATCACCCCGCCCCATTCTCCCGCTTTCCATCACCCTGCCCCATTCTCCCGCTTTCCATCTCCAGGACCACGCAAGCTCTAAGACCAGGTAAGCTCTTGGACCAGGCAAGCTCTTGGACCAGGCAAGCTCCTAGACCAGGCAAGCTCGTGGACCACGCACGCTCCTGGACCAGGCAAGCTCCTAGACCAGGAAAGCTCCTGGACCTGGCAAGCTCCTAGACCAGGCAAGCTCCTGGACCAGGCAAGCTCCTAGACCAGGCAAGCTCCCGGACCAGGCAAGCTCCTGGACCAGGCAAGCTCATGGACCAGGCAAGCTCCTGGACCAGGCAAGCTCCTGGACCATGCAAGCTCGTGAACCAGGCATGCTCGTGCACGAGGCAAGCTCGTGGACCAGGCACGCTCCTGGACCACGCAAGCTCCTGGACCACGCAAGCTCTTGGACCAGGCACGCTCATGGACCATGCAAGCTCTTGGACCACGCACGCTCCTGGACAAAGCAAGCTCTTGGACCAGGCTAGCTCGTGGACCACGCACGCTATTGGACCAGGCACGCTCCTCGACCAGTCAAGCTCTTGGACTAGGCAGGCTTCTGGGCCAAGCAAGCTCCTGGACCAAGCAAGCTCCTGGACCATGCACGCTCCTGGACCAGGCAAGCTTCTGGACCAGACAAGCTCCTCGACCAGGCAAGCTCCTGGACCAGGCAAGCTCTTGGACCAGGCAAGCTCCTGGGCCAGGCACGCTCGCGGACGAGGCACGCTCTTGGACCAGGCAAGCTCTTGGACCAGGCAAGCTCGTGGACCAGGCACGCTCCTTGACCAGGCAAGCTCCTGGACAAGGCAAGCTCCTGGACCAGGCAAGCTCCTGGACCAGGCACGCTCCTGGACCAGGCAAGCTCCTGGACCAGGCAAGCTCTTGGACGAGGAAATCTCGTGGACCAGGCAAGCTTCTGGACCAGGCAAGCTTCTGGACCAAGCAAGCTCCTGGACTAGGCGAGCTCTTGGACTAGGCAAGCTCTTGGACGAGGCAAGCTCAAGGACCAAGCAAGCTCCTGGACCACGAAAGCTCCTGGACCAGGCATGCTCCTGGACCAGGTAAGCTCTTGAACCTGGAAAGCTCCTGGACGAGGCAAGCTCCTAGAACAGGCAAGCTTCTAGACCAGGCAAGCTCTTGGACCAGGCAAGCTCCGGGACCAGGCAAGCTTCTGGAACATGCAAGCTCGTAGACCATGCAAGCTCCTGGACCAGGCAAGCTCTTGGACCACGCATGCTCCTAGACCAGGCAAGCTCCTGGACCAGGCAAGCTCCGGGACCAAGCACGCTCTTGGACATAGCAAGCTCTTGGACCAGGCACGCTCCTGGAATGGGCAAGCTCCTGGACCAGGCAAGCTCTTAGACCAGGCAAGCTCTTGGACCAGGCAGGCTCGTGGACCAGGCACGCTCCTGGACCAGGTAAGCTCCTGGACGAGGCAAGCTCATGGACCAGGCAAGCTCCTGGACCAGGTAAGCTCCTGGACCAGGCAAGCTCCTAGACCACGCAAGCTCCTGGACCAGGCAAGCTCCTGGGCCAGGCACGCTCGCGGACTAGGCACGCTCTTGGACTAGGCAAGCTCTTGGACCAGGCAAGCTCGTGAACCAGGCACGCTCCTGGACCAGGCAAGCTCCTGGACAAGGCAAGCTCCTGGACCAGGCAAGCTCCTGGACCAGGCAAGCTCTTGGACGAGGAAATCTCGTGGACCAGGCAAGCTCTTGGACCAGGCAAGCTCCTGGACCAAGCAAGCTCCTAGACTAGGCGATCTCTTGGACTAGGCAAGCTCTTGGACCAGGCAAGCTCAAGGACCAAGCAAGCTCCTGGACCACGAAAGCTCCTGGACCAGGCATGCTCCTGGACTAGGTAAGCTCTTGAACCTGGAGAGCTCCTGGACGAGGCAAGCTCCTAGAACAGGCAAGCTTCTAGACCAGGCAAGCTCTTGGAGCAGGCACGCTCCTGGACCAGGCAAGCTCTTGGACCAGGCAAGCTCCTGGACCAGGCAAACTTCTGGAACATGCAAGCTCGTGGACCATGCAAGCTCCTGGACCAGGCAAGCTCTTGGACGACGCATGCTCCTAGACCAGGCAAGCTCCTGGACCATGCAAGCTCGTGGACCAGGCATGCTCGTGCACGAGGCAAGCTCGTGGACCAGGCACGCTCCTGGACCACGCAAGCTCCTGGACCACGCAAGCTCTTGGGCCAGGCACGCTCATGGACCAGGCAAGCTCTTGGACCACGCACGCTCCTGGACAAAGCAAGCTTCTGGACCAGGCTAGCTCGTGGACCACGCACGCTATTGGACCAGGCACGCTCCTCGACCAGTCAAGCTCTTGGACTAGGCAGGCTTCTGGGCCAAGCAAGCTCCTGGACCAAGCAAGCTCCTAGACCATGCACGCTCCTGGACCAAGCAAGCTCCTGGACCAGACAAGCTCCACGACCAGGCAAGCTCCTGGACCAGGCAAGCTCTTGGACCAGGCAAGCTCCTGGGCCAGGCACGCTCGCGGACGAGGCACGCTCTTGGACCAGGCAAGCTCCTGGACCAGGCAAGCTCGTGGACCAGGCACGCTCCTGGACCAGGCAAGCTCCTGGACAAGGCAAGCTCCTGGACCAGGCAAGCTCCTGGACCAGGCACGCTCCTGGACCAGGCAAGCTCCTGGACCAGGCAAGCTCTTGGACGAGGAAATCTCGTGGACCAGGCAAGCTCTTGGACCAGGCAAGCTCCTGGACCAAGCAAGCTCCTGGACTAGGCAAGCTCTTGGACTAGGCAAGCTCTTGGACCAGGCAAGCTCAAGGACCAAGCAAGCTCCTGGACCAGGTAAGCTCTTGAACCTGGAAAGCTCCTGGACCAGGCAAGCTCCTAGAACAGGCAAGCTTCTAGACCAGGCAAGCTCTTGGAGCAGGCACGCTCCTGGACCAGGCAAGCTCTTGGACCAGGCAAGCTCCAGGACTAGGCAAGCTTCTGGAACATGCAAGCTCGTGGACCATGCAAGCTCCTGGACTAGGCAAGCTCTTGGACCACGCATGCTCCTAGACCAGGCAAGCTCCTGGACCAGGCAAGCTCCGGGACCAAGCACGCTCTTGGACATAGCAAGCTCTTGGACCAGGCACGCTCCTGGAACGGGCAAGCTCCTGGACCAGGCAAGCTCTTAGACCAGGCAAGCTCTTGGACCAGGCAGGCTCGTGGACCAGGCACGCTCCTGGACCAGGTAAGCTCCTGGACGAGGCAAGCTCATGGACCAGGCAAGCTCCTGGACCAGGTAAGCTCCTGGACCAGGCAAGCTCCTGGACCAGGCAAGCTCCTCGAACAGGCAAGCTCCTGGGCTAGGCACGCTCGCGGACCAGCAACGCTCTTGGACCAGGCAAGCTCTTGGACCAGGCAAGCTCGTGGACCAGGCACGCTCCTGGACCAGGCAAGCTCATGGACAAGGCAAGCTCCTGGACCAGGCAAGCTCCTTGACCAGGCACGCTCCTGGACCAGGCAAGCTCCTGGACCAGGCAAGCTCTTGGACGAGGAAATCTCGTGGACCAGGCAAGCTCTTGGACCAGGCAAGCTCAAGGACCAAGCAAGCTCCTGGACCAGGAAAGCTCCTGGACCAGGCATGCTCCTGGACAAGGTAAGCTCTTGAACCTGGAAAGCTCCTGGACGAGGCAAGCTCCTAGAACAGGCAAGCTTCTAGACCAAGCAAGCTCTTGGAGCAGGCACGCTCCTGGACCAGGCAAGCTCTTGGACCAGGCAAGCTCCTGGACCAGGCAAGCTTCAAGAACATGCAAGCTCGTGGACCATGCAAGCTCCTGGACCAGGCAAGCTCTTGGACCACGCATGCTCCTAGACCAGGCAAGCTCCTGGACCAGGCAAGCTCCGGGACCAAGCACGCTCTTGGACATAGCAAGCTCTTGGACCAGGCACGCTCCTGGAACGGGCAAGCTCCTGGACCAAGCAAGCTCTTAGACCAGGCAAGCTCTTGGACCAGGCAGGCTCGTGGACCAGGCACGCTCCTGGACCAGGTAAGCTCCTGGACCAGGCAAGCTCCTGGACCAGGCAAGCTCCTGGACCAGGCAAGCTCCTGGACCAGGCACGCTCCTGGACCAGGCACGCTCCTGGACCAGGCAAGCTCCTGGACCAGGCAAGCTCCTGGACCTGGCACGCTCCTGGACCAGGCAAGCTCCTGGACTAGGCAAGCTCCTGGACCAGGCAAGCTCCTAGACCAGGCAAACTCGTGGACCAGGCACGCACCTGGACCACGCAAGATCCTGGACCAGGCAAGCTCCCATACCAGGCACGCTCCTGGACCAGGCAAGCTTTTGGACGAGGCAAGCTCCAGGACCACGCAAGCTCTTGGACCAGGTAAGCTTTTAGACCAGGCAAGCTCTTGGACCAGGCAAGCTCCTAGACCAGGCAAGCTCGTGGACCACGCACGCTCCTGGACCAGGCAAGCTCCTGGACCAGGCAAGCTCCTGGATCAGGCAAGCTCCTAGACCAGGCACGCTCCTGGACCAGGCAAGCTCTTGGACCAGGCAAGCTCCGAGACCAGGCAAGCTTCTGGAACATGCAAGCTCGTGGACCATGCAAGCTCCTGGACCAGGCAAGCTCTTGGACCACGCATGCTCCTAGACCAGGCAAGCTCCTGGACCAGGCAAGCTCCGGGACCAAGCACGCTCTTGGACATAGCAAGCTCTTGGACCAGGCACGCTCCTGGAACGGGCAAGATCCTGGACCAAGCAAGCTCCTAGACCAGGCGCGCTCCTGGACCAGGCAAGCTCCCGGACCGAGCAAGCTCCTGGACCACGCAAGCTCTTGGACCAGGCAAGCTCTTGGACCAGGCAAGCTCCTGGACAAGGCAAGCTCCTAGACCAGGCAAGCTCGTGGACCAGGCATGCTCCTAGACCAGGCAAGCTCCTGGACTAGGCAAGCTCATGGACCAGGCAAGCTCCTAGACCAAGCAAGCTCCTGGACCAGGCAAGCTCCTAGACCAGGCAAGCTCATGGACAAGACAAGCTCCTGGACCAGGCAAACTCGTGCACCAGGCACGCTCCTGGACCTGGCAAGATTTTGGACCAGGCATGC